GCGTAGTGCTGGGTGCGGGATGGAGTGGGATGGGACAGGGATGGGACGGGATGGGATCCGGTCTCCCCGCTCCAGGCGCAGCGCTGGGTGCATGCTGGCCTAGCACGGACGGTGCTGGTGGTGTCTCACCGGCGGTGGGTGCTGGACGGGGCCGATCGGCTGGTGCTGCTGGAGGGAGGGGCCGTGGCCGAGCAGGGAACGCCGGCCGAGCTGCGGGAGCACCGCGGGGCCTACAACCGCCTGCTCCATGGGGGAGGAGGGGACGGGGAATAAAGGGCCATTGGTGTCCCCATTCCCGGTGTTGGTGTCCCATCCCCCTGTCCTGTGGGTCCCTCATCCCCCTCCACCCATCCGCTGGATCCTCTCTCCCTGTGTCCCTTGGATTCTCCTCCCCAGTTCCACCGGTGAGTGAAGGGCTTGATTTCCAGCTGGGCATAAAACCCCAGTGGTGGAGACATGAGGGACATGTGGTGGGCAGGGACACGAGGGCCAAAGTAAACCTTGTACATTTAATAACTTGTAAATAAAGTAAACTGCAATAATAATGGCAAATGATGATGATAGTAATGATGATAAAAAGAGGTTCAACTGCTCACCACCTGCAGGCTGATGGCAAACCCCTCTGCCCACACCCACAGAGGCCCCTTCCACACAGCTGCCCCCAGTTTAATCTTCCAGGAGATGGGATCTCCGATGGAACAGGAGCCCCTCCCTGCCAGACTTAACTGTAAATCTGAAAATGTGACACTTAACGAGCAAGGTGTGGAAAGGAAATAATGATTTACTAAAAACAGGGAACCAACCAGAACTGTCATGGTTTCAAGGGGGCTAAACTTTCAGGAACAGGAGGGCCATGGAGGTGATTTTGGTCAGAAGCTTTTACGAGCAGCTTTTGCTGTTCCATAAAAACCCAAGCATGGCCGATTCCAGGGTGGGCTTCCTACCACTTCCAGACAGTGGCATTCACTCTTGTGAGAACACATTGAAGAACTCAGGAAGAGAATTCTGTGGCACAGAAGAAATTCAAGCTGGGGAGGAGAGCAGAGGAGAACATGAGATAGGAATGGAGACTCCAAGGTCAGTGTGGCAGGAGAGGGGAGGAGGAGAGGCCCAGAGCCCTCCCTCTCCCCCTCCAGCAGGGGAAGGACTGAAAACCGAGCCCCCCTGATGCCTGTGGAAGATTGTTGGGGTGAGGAGACCCCTCTCTGCAGCTCATGGAGGAGCCTGCACTGGGGCAGGGGGATGCACGAGGAAGCTGAGACTGTTCCTGCTGGAGACCTGTGGTCTCATGGAGAGAGAAACCTGTGCTGGGGTGAGTTGTCCTGGGTAGGACTCGTGGCCCTGTGGGGGAATCCATGCTAGTGAACCTTATTTATGCCCTGAGGGACAGCAGATGATGGAAGAACTGCTGCCCGAGGGATGGGCTGTGATGGTTCAGACCTGGCTCCTTCCCAGTGCCTGAACTCACAGTGACAACCCCTTCCCCCTCCTTTCCTCCCTCGGGGCAAAGGAAAAAAAAACAAAACTATAAAAACCCCTGAAATCAATTTAATTATATAAAAATAAATATTTTTACATATATTACAGTTATACACAATTAAGACGCTGCGTACACAGTGCACGGAATCCAAACACCCCCCGAAGGCACAGGGGAAAAAAGGGACAAAAAGGGACAAAACCGGAACAGATATGCACAATCAAAGCCAAGGCAAGATAAAGAACCAGCAAAACAAATCTCACCACGTCCCTCTGAGAGAATAAGATCACCAGACACGGCCAGCACTCTCCAAACCTCCCATGTGGCAGAGCCTGGAAGGGAATGGTGGAAAGGACTGGCTGGGACTGGGAATTCAGCGCTCTGGGTCTCTGTCCCAGTTTAAATGAGACCCAGGTGTTTTGCTGAATATGAGTTATGAGGAAGACCCAAAACTCCTCCCTCTAAGCAATTGTAAATCCGAAATTAAGAGGCTCCACTTGAAGGGAAAAAATGTGGAAAGGGGAAAAAAAGGTGGAAAAGGGAAAAAATAATAACTCTCTATTTAAAGATATCTGTGCATTGGCAGAAACAACAAAAGGAAACAAGTAAAACAACCAAACAATACTCCTATAACCACAAACCAATAAACAAACACAGGAAAAAAAAAGATCCCAGCAGAACCCACAGCTGACACAGCCAGGTGGAGAACAAAAACCCATTCAGAGCTTCTACTCCCACCTTGTTCCAGCTTCAGCAGCCACCTGAACTCCTCCTCACTGTTTCCCAGGAGAGAAGAGGGAAAAAAAAGTGAAAAGGAACTCCCCCTCTTCCCCAAAAGCAAAATTCTGAGGGCCATTAACTGGCAATGTGGCCTCACCAGCAGCTTCTTTGGTGCTCCTTAACTGTCCACTTAACATTCCCTCCACGAAGTGGGTGGGGAAGGAAGGGAAAAATTCCTGCTTACCTATGGGGCTGAGTTTTTGGGTAGAGGGGGCCTTTTTCCACCCCCCTCCCCATTCCCCCTGGGAGCAGAGGGAAAAGACTTGGAGCTGAAGCAGATTGGGAAGAGCTGCTGCCCCAGGGAGGGACTCCAGCAAGGACTGTCTCCCGTGGGAAGGGACCCCACGGAAACAGGGGAAGGACTCAGAGCCATTTTATCCCCCCCCCCCCCAGTCTGTGGTGAAAGCTCTGGTAATGCAGACCACAGAGGACCATCCTGCACCCCGTGGAAAGCAACTTTTTTAGCTTTTATCCTGTTGGCAATGAATTTAAGTTGTATTCCCTACGTTGAGTCTGTTTTGCCCGTTGGTAAATGACTGTGTCCCACTTCCTATCTCTGCTCATAAATTCTTTAACTGGGTTTTTCTTTTCTTCCCCCTCCTCTGCCAAGCTGGAGAGGGGAGGGTGAGCCAAACCCACTGCAGAGGACACGGGTAAGTCCCTGGAAAATTGTCCAGGAATTTGCTCCGATGCCATGGAAGTTCACCCTGGAACAACCTCAGGACCCTCAACGAGATCTATGGAGAGGCAGGTTTTCCTCCCGTGGGTGTTCACAGGGGACAAAGCTGTGATGGCCTCAACCCAGGGCAGTGATAGAGGGGCCCTGCCCCCAGTCAGCGTCCTGGACCCCACGGTGCCCTGGGTGGGTTTTGGGGGGTGTTCCCCCCCGGGGGGGTGTTGCCACCCCCCCCAATCTCCCAATTGCCCCTCTCCCCCCAGTGGGCCAGCACACCCATCATTTGATCCCATAAAACCTCCCAGTTTCCCACACTGGGCACCCCAGTTGCCCACCCAGACCTCCCAGTTGCCACTCCTGCTGCTCCAGTCCCTCCCCCACCCCTCAGATGAGTGAGAGGGGGAGGGGCAGGGTCATGACCCCCTCTCCCTCAGCCTCTTCTGGGGGCTTCCCAGTAAAACCAGTGGAGACAAACAGGGAGGAGCCGTTAAGGTGGGGGAGGGGCATAAGAACCTTTTATTGGGGTGGGGAAGGCGCTGGAAACCCCTTTGGTGGTGGGAGGGGCTCAGAACCGCTTTTACCCGGTGAGGGAGGGGGGCGGGGCAGGTCAGGAGGGGGAGTCCCCCTCTTTGGGGGTTTCCCCACTTGGGGGACTCTCCTCCCCCTCTCTCTCCCCCTCCTCCGGCCTCTCCCCCTCTGCTGGCCCCTCCCCCTCCCGCTCCATTCGCTCCCGGTAATTCCTCTGGAAAAAGCCACACTGTGGGGGGAGGGGCAGGGTAAGAATGGGGGGGGAAGGGGCGCACCCAGACTGGGGTTCACCCCTCTTCCCACCCCCCCCCCACCTCACCTTGGCGAGGCCGAGGACGATGAGGAGGAGGAGGAGCAGCCCCCCCACCCCTCCCCCCACGTAGCTGGGCAGGGGGTTCACTTCCCACAGCAGCTCGACCTCCGTGACCCCCTAAAATGTGGGGGAGGGGTCGAGGTCAGGCGGGGGGGAGGGGCTGCCCCATAAATCGGGACAGCCCCTCACCCACAACGACCTGCGGGAGGAAGAATTGGGAGAGCCCCTCCCTCCATCGGCCCTTCCCCCACCCCAGAGCCCCTCCCCCACCCCCCACCATTACCTGGGCTCGGATCAATTGGGGCGTGACCTCCACGAAGGGCGGGGCCAGAGCGAGCCAGAGGGCGGAGCAAAAGCGGGAGTGGGCGGGGCCCTGCGGGGGGGGGGAAGGGGGGTTAGAGAGGGGGGAGAGGCTTTAGGGGGGTGGGGGAGGGGTGGGATGTACCTTGCTGTGGGGGAGGGGCCGCAGGGCAGCACTGACCGTGACCCTCACGGGGAACCCTGGGGTCAGCGGGGTGGGGGGGCAGCGGAACAGCCTCAGGTGGGGGGTGAAGCAGGTCTGGGGGAGGGGGAGGGACCCAAAAATTAGGGCCCTGCCCCTCCCCCACCATGGGGGGGACACAATACTCCAAGACACCACAACTGTGGGACCCCCCAGAGCACCCCCACAGTGGGGTCTCCCTCCCTCAGAGCGCCCCTTTACGGGGGTCCCCACCCAAAAAACTCCCGATATGGGGGTGTCCACCCCAAAAAAACTTCCCCTCTCACCTGAGTGATGCTCCTGTTCAGCTCCTGCCCCACAGAGCCCCCCAGATGTGGCTCCACGGGGTCACAGGGGACCCCCGGATCCTGCTGGGAAAGGGGGTGAGTGGGGGGGGGCAGGGGGCTTGCGGGGGAATTGGGGTTAAGGGGGGAGCAGAGGGGCA